AATATTAAAATTTTATGTGTTGTTATTATGTAGTATTTTGCGTAATTAACAAAAAACATCGTTCACAAACTTTTGTCTGGGTAGTGTATTTCCATATCCACTTCAATGGTTGAACAATCTCTGAGAAATTGTGAGAAAACTTCACGGTATAAAACAACAGGTTGTCCAATATAATCTAAATCTGGTGGGCGATGACATTGTATATTGGCATTCCTTTGATGTTTTGGGAATACTCTATGTACAGCAGCAACAGAAGGAGAATCGACCAAATGAATGTGTTCAAAAGTAAATAATCATTTCTTCCTCATTGTGACAACATCTCCAACCAACTCACGCTTGACTCCAGTAGTAACTGCAATAGAATGATAGAGTAACAAAAATAACCAATGAAGTTTTGTTTGCATTTTTATAAATGTAAAATATTTGACATAAAATTTGACCTTACCTGTCTCTTCAATTGATCCTTCATATATAAAAGATGGACAAATTAATTCAGGATAAATGTGCAGAATGTTTATTTAAAACAAAATAATGGTAAATAAATAAACGAAATGGAATGAAATGGAAAATAATTTTTTGTATATTGGTGATTTGCCTATGAATTAGTGAAATGTATAACCCAACATTTACATTCGAGATCTTTACCTTCAATGCCTTTAAATCTTCTTCTTAGTTGCTTCACCTCCAGCTCCAACTCCTCTGCCTTCTTCTTCCAACTCTAAAGAGCATGATTGTTTGTGCAGAAGATAATTATATATAAAAATTATTTTATGTTGAATTAGTGTTTACAATATTGAATACTAAAATAATATTTTATTGAAATAAATACCATATCATTTTCTTTATTTTCATGTTGTTTTTGGTGTTGTTGTTGTTGCTCAACGTTTTTTTCTTTAATTCTCCGATTATCACCTTCCAAATGGCTTAATTTATTCAACTTTAAACGATTATCCCTATATCTAGATGAAGTCCTCCCATTATCATCTGAAAAACATTCTCGTAACCTTAAATCTTCATTAGCACTATTACTATTACTACTATTAGTACTTCTAATCAAATCAATACTAAGATCAGAGTATAAAAAAAAAGTTTATTCTTTAGGCATTATTTTTATAAAAAACTAGGGTGACGACGGGTGGCGGGCGATAACCACCACCATCCTTAAAACACTTACCCAGCGATATCAGCTTTGTTATTCGTTCTGCTTCTTTTTTTCGACTCTTTCTTTGGTGGCATTTTAAAAGAAAAAAATAAAAAGTTTGTGAATGATCGACGCGTACACATTAATTATTTATCCTATTGGTTTTTTTTTGGTAGGACAGACGCGAATTGGTTTTTTTTTTTTTTTTTTGGAAAAACAATTTATTTATTTTTTGACAGAGTCCAAGGTGACAAAACGTGAGTGTTGTTGTTTGGTTTGGTTTGGTTTGGGTCTCCTAAAGAAAACGTGTTAATAACTAACCAAAGGCACTATTTTTTATTTGTATTGATATGTATGAGGTGTCTTTTATTTTAGCTTATAAATATTTTAATTGGAATCAAAACGCGGAACAGATCTTGCTGGGTAATTACAAGATTTTCA